AATGCTTAGGTTTAAACTCCAATTCAAATTGAAAGAGAATTGCAGTATTTTTGCGATGGAAGCCATGGCCCAAATATCAGGCAATTCAGGTTAATTTCTGAAAATGTACAAAAAGGTTTTCTGTGGTGATTTCATATTAACAAGTAATAAGTAGGGGAGAGGGGGGCACCTCTGAACACTTTTTTCTTTGAAGCCTCAATAATTTTTTATGTTATAATTTTTGGTTCCTGTAAGTTTTAACTAAGAGGTACATATGTAACCTTCAAAATGAATATACATATGACATACTTTAAGCTTGATATACATATTTTATTACTGTTTTAATGGACGAAGTCAATGTGTTCAAAACTGCCCCCAGGGGGGCACCTTTAAACACAGCTCGGTATTTTTGAACGGCATGTTTTTTTACAGTGTTTATGTTCAAATATATATGTATTGTATTCATATATTGGTCTGTTCCCGTACTGCAAGAATCTACTCGATTTTAATATTTTCTTCGATGTCATAAAGGAAAAAAGTGTTATCGGAGTAAAAAATAGTAGATTCTTGCAGTACGGGAAAAGATCATATATCAGAAATATATTAATTTATTAAAAAATATATACAAAAATATTCGATAATTAAATAGTTCTGATCAAAATTTATTAAAACATAAAATGATATAAAAACAAAAATTTATATAGTGCAAAATACATCTAATTTCGTAATCTTATTATCCCATTTGAAATTTTTGAGAAATCGAAGCCAAATATCAAAAACTCCGTTTTTTACTGGAGTTTAGTGGATATGTTCAAAGGTGCCCCACCCATGGTATTTTACGAAAAATTTATAATAACTTTTTTTGTAGTAAATATATATGAAAGAAAATATATTAGATATGTTTGAAATGATTGTTGGAATGCAAAAAAATTGTTTATCGAAAGAAAACTATCACTGCATTCTTCCTGCGCCCTTACAACCAAAAAATGAAACGTTTACAATTGCAGTGCGAAAACATAGTCACTCATGTAGATTTTCATGAGCAACAAACAATTTTTGTAATTTATTTTTCTTCCTTTTTAAATCTTCAAATATATACACCTAAGTCTGTTTTTACACGGTAGATTGGTTCCAGAAGAAGCCGTGTAAAAAAGGGAATTCCCCTAAATTAGTGCTATATCCGTAGAACCCGATATAACCGGGTACCCGTACCCGAACATCCGGGTCAAATAACCGGGCAACCAGGTAATATATATATATATATAAATATATTTCTGATATATGGTCTGTTCCCGTACTGCAAGAATCTACTATTTTTTACTCCGATAACACTTTTTTCCTTATGATATCGAAGAAAATATTAAAATCGAGTAGATTCTTGCAGTACGGGAACAGACCAATATATGAATACAATACATATATATTTGAACATAAACACTGTAAAAAAACATGCCGTTCAAAAATACCGAGCTGTGTTTAAAGGTGCCCCCTGGGCATATGTATATTCATTTTGAAGGTTACATATGTACCTCTTAGTTAAAACTTATAAGAAACCAAAAATTATAACATAAAAATTTTATGAGGCTTCAAAGAAAAAAGTGTTCAGAGGTGCCCCCTCTCCCCTACTTATTACTTGTTAATATGAAATCACCACAGAAAACCTTTTTGTACATTTTCAGAAATTAACCTGAATTGCCTGATATTTGGGCCATGGCTTCCATCGCAAAAATACTGCAATTCTCTTTCAATTTGAATTGTAGTTTAAACCTAAGCATTCAAATGTGATTTAATTTTAAAATTAATTTTATTATGTTTACAAAGTGATTTAAGTTATGCTAAATCCATGGCATAATTACGCAAGGTAGTCTCATGCTGACATATGATTCCAATTTTTTTCATAAATTTAATTTGCTAATATTCAGTTTTTAAATTTTAATGAAAGTTTCCCCCTTTAAAATGCATGGGTGAATTGTGTTATATGGCAAAAAGTGCAAAGTAATGTATATTATTTTACATTTTGAAAATTTCTGATCTCTTTCATTTATTACCATCACTATGTTCGAGGTTTTAATAGGGAGACTTCTAGAGCAAGTTTTTTGTCCTGACCACCAGTTGGAAATCAGAAATTCAGCAACTTTGTTCTACAAAAAACTGAATCTGAACATATGGTGAATACCAAAATACTCGTAGAGACTCCCTCTTTCGTTTGATACCCTTACTTTGTTCGAGGTTTGTATACGGAGGCTTCCAGAGCCATTTTGGTGTCCTGACCACCAGTTGGAAATCAGAAATTCAGCAACTTTGTTTTGCAAAAAACTGAATTTGAACATATGGTGGATACCAGAATACCAGGCTTCCAGAGCCAGTTTGGTGTCCTGACCACCAGTTGGAAATCAGAAATTCAGCAACTTTGTTCTACAAAAAACTAAATCTGAACATATGGTGAATACCAAAATACTCGTAGAGACTCCCTCTTTCGTTTGATACCCTTACTTTGTTCGAGGTTTGTATAGGGAGGCTTCCAGAGCCAGTTTGGTGTCCTGACCACCAGTTGGAAATCAGAAATTCAGCAACTTTTGTATAGGGACGCTTCCAGAGCCATTTTTGTGTCCTGACCACCAGTTGGAAATCAGAAATTCAGCAACTTTGTTCTACAAAAAACTGAATTTGAACAAATTGTGCATACCAAAATACTCGTAGAGACTCCCTCTTTCATTTGGTACCATCACTATGTTGATCCAGTGAATCTCTCCTAATTCACTGGATCAAAATGTTTGTGATTTAGTAATACTTTAGTTTTAGATTATAATAAAATATGTTTCAACATTTTCGTATTGTTTATTATTTTTCATTACTAATGAATTATGTTAACATTTTTATTAAAAATTTTAAAAAATTATTTTATAATATTCTGCGCTATCTCTGTTGGAAAGCACTGTTGATAAAAATAGTATTAAATGTGAAATTGTGATGTCACCCTGTAATTTCGATAAAAAAAAATTTTATCGAAAGTTAGCGATGTCGCTAAAGTGGGTCACACACCTCAAACATGTGCGTTCCATCGGTGTGAAGCTCCTAGCCCACACACGTCAAACGGATGCATTCAACTTCATTTCATATTTATTTTTGAAGCGTGAAGATGGACCGCGATGGTGCTGACGGAAAAAATATGAAGTATTTTTATTTAATATAAATGTATTAAATACTTTTATTTTTTCGGGAAAAAACATTTTTATTTGCCACACAGTAGAATATGTGTAAAAACATCAAAAAATCTTCCAAATACATATGTATTGCATTTGTCCGCTGATCCGCACTCCACGAAATTTCTCAACAAATGAGAAAATATCCACACACCAGGCCACAGACGTCAAACATGTGCGCGTCGCACAACGAAAAATTAAAATTTTTTAATTTCTTTCGATCGGTGTGCGCACCGGCAAATCGGTGTGAACACCGTACCACACACGTCAAACATTGCTTCGATTCACACCGATCGAACGCACATGTTTGACGTGTGTGGGCCACTTAACTTCACGCAGGTGGAGCTCTTTAGGGGTTTCAATACAAAAAATCGCATAATCGATTAGTGGAAAATCGACTTACGTATTCCTTCACATCAGTGATGAAAAATAAAAAAGGTGAAAAAGTAATAAAATAGTACTTTTTTCTATATCCAGTATAATGTTAATGTACTATAAAACGGCATTAATATTAGAACTTTTTGCCGGCTTAATCTACTTAATGAGGTTTTATTTGAAATATATATATATATAATGAAATATAAGTAATGTAAACGTACTATTAAGTAGGGAAATTGTCCCATATCTAAGAAGGATTGAAGGGCTAAGCAGAATGCTCGCGTTGTGCCATCCGATAACACAAACGCTCGAAGTTGTTGTGCGCTGCGCTTCGGAGTTAAATATATTTTAACTCTTTGCGTGCGTTAACGCGATAACAAAAAACGCTCAACGCGAACATTCTGCTTAGGCCTTGACTTCTATAAAATAAGTACATATTTGTAATCAGGACTTCAACCCAACAAAATGTTTTAGAGCTTACATTTAATACGCAGCTATTAAAAATATATTTTTTGGGTTGCGTATGTCAAGACCTGATAATGGACGACACATATGAAAAGAAAAATATTAAAACTAAACTAATTTTACAAGTTTTGCAACTTTTTACTCGAAACCAGTTCCTGAACCCACAAAAGTGGTAAAATATTGAACCAATGTTAAGAGAACACAAAACGATATGGCGTTATCTTTGTAAAATGTTTACTCCAAAAATTTGTAAAAATGGTAAAAGGGAATGCCAACTTCTGATTGGCTGTTACGTTGATTTTGAAGTATTGCCATCTAAGTTTGGCATATTTACTAGATTTGTGTTTCCAAACTTTTCAATTATTTTGTACTCTGAGAGGAAGTTTGAAATATTTCCCTTTTACTAGCTTTACTATTAAAAAAGTACTGGAACACACCAGTACTTGGTTCTTTTATTATACGCTAATGAGAACCGAATGAAAAGAAATTTGTATTGAATTAAGAAGAAAACAAAATTATCTTCCACCTATATATATATAAACTGTTTAGATTTTTGGTTTTCATACATAATTTAAAATTTTTCTTAAAAATTTTGATATTTTATTGTTTAGAGGGCGAGTTAAGTTGAACAATGTACAAAAATCACTGTTCGCTCAGAAAATTTTGAATGGGGAACTAAGTAATTATTTCATAATTCAGTGTCGAACAATGAATAGAGAGCGAACATCGACCGTTTGTACATGCCATTCATTTGTTCGTCATTGGGAAACAATTTTATTAAAAAAAAGAATTTCTATGGAGAAATCTATGCTGGGTGAATGATTGCAGTTGTACTGAAAAGTACTTCGGTACTTTTTTTAGAACAAGGAACAAGAAATGGCATTGTACTGAATTTTCCATCCCTGCTTCAAATTACATGTGCTGCGGATATATTTAATATATTATTAGACAATCGCCCGTTTATAGCTTTAAAAAATGATAGATTTTGTGGAAGTTCTTTGTCCTTTCGGTACCTATCGTAGAAAAGTTGAAAAGGTCGGCGCTGCCTATCTGAATTCCAAGAAGAGACAACAAAATGATCACATCGAAAGAAGTGCATCTGAGGAAAAACTTTTAAACGATGAATTTGAGGTTGACATTAATTATCTCAAGTCTCTAGACCCAAAGGAATGGAAAAATCAGGACCACTATAAGGTTTTAGGGCTTGAAAAACTGAGGTAAGTGATTTGAAAAAAAAAAACAATTTACAGAGTATAAGTTAACACAAAATGTTACAGATTTAATGCCACAGATGATGATATACGTCGAGCCTACCGAAAGATGGTTTTACAGCATCATCCCGACAAACGCAAAGCAAAGGGCGAAGAGATAAAGACAGATGACGACTATTTTACATGTATAACAAAGGCTTATGAAACCCTAGGTATATTTAACACATTGATTGGAAATTTTTAATGTATACAATATACGTGCATTGTAGGTACGCCCAAAACGAGACGTTCATTTGATTCGGTGGACCCTGAATTTGACGACTCGTTGCCCACTCAATCGGAGATTGAAAGCAACTTCTTCGAGTCTTTCCAGAAATACTTTGAACTGAATGCGAGATGGAGTGAAAAAAAGAATGTCCCTTCCTTTGGCGACATGAATTCCACAAGAGAAGAGGTTGAGCGATTCTACAGTTTTTGGTATGATTTTAAGTCTTGGCGCGAGTTTAGTTACTTGGATGAAGAAGATAAAGAAAAGGGCCAGGATAGGGATGAGCGTCGATGGATTGAGAAAGAAAATAAAGCGGCACGTATAAAACGGAAGAAGGAAGAAATGATGAGAATTCGAGCTCTAGTGGATTTGGCATACAACAATGATAAACGCATTCAAAAATTTAAAAATGAAGAGAAGGAGAGAAAATTGGCCGCAAAACGTGCAAAAATGGATGCAGCACAGGCTCAAAAGGCAGAACAAGAGCGAGCTCTGCGAGAGGCACAGTTGGCGAAAGAACGCGCTGAAAAGGCTGAACAAAAACGAATAGAGCAAATAAGGATCGAAAGGGAACAAGCAAAAAAGGCTATTAAAAAGGAAAGGAAGCTACTTAGAGATAAAGCCAAAGAAAATAATTATTTCGGAAACAATGATAAAGATGTCCTTAAAAATATGGAAGGCGTAGAAAAGATATGCGAAACATTCTCACTGGCCGAATTGCAAGAATTAAACAAAAAAATGGAAAAATCAGCAAAGGACTCGTTTTTCGGAGCACTCAAAAAAGCGGATATGAAAATAAAAGCGGAACTTGAAGAGGTGAACCAAACACAAAACAAAGGCAAAAACAATACAAAATCGGAAACTGTTATTAAGGAAGTTAAAAAAACCGAGCTATGGAGTAACGAAAATGTGCAGCTGCTCATCAAGGCTGTGAACCTGTTTCCTGCGGGAACATCACAACGTTGGGATGTAATTGCATCGTTTATTAATCAGCATTCAACAGTGGAGGTTAATATAACAGCCCGAGATGTCCTCAACAAAGCAAAGGCATTGCAACACAGCGATTTCTCTAAAAATACTCTTAAAACACAAGCTAATGATACAGCTTTCGAAAATTTTGAAAAATCAAAGAAAGAAGTTGTGACGTCTTCCGACATCACTGTCAATACTGAAATATCGTCAGAAAGCGCCGGTAACAGTGAATCCAAAGAAAACCAATCTAATGGCAATATATCGAACTCCACAACCGTTAATTCGAAAACACAAAAGGCAACATCAAAGGCATGGACAAAGGAAGAACAAGCTTTATTAGAGCAAGCCATCAAGACCTACCCAATATCGACGCCAGACCGTTGGGATCGGATTGCAGAATGCATTCCCAACAGATCAAAAAAAGATTGTCTCCGGAGAGTAAAGGAATTAGTTGAACTTGTTAATTCTAAAAAAGAAGCTCAGCAGTTGGTGAAATGACTTTGAAATTATTCTGATGCTAAATATCTTAATTTTATTTAAATAAAATATTTGGTAATTAGAAGAACCACAATTTGTTTATTTACAAACTGCACTTCTTAATACATGTTTATTGTAAATAATTTTATTAATTTCAAAAAATATATATAATGTTGGTGTATATTCGACAACGTTTCCTTCCATCCAATTCACGTTTGTTGCGAACTCTTTAAGTTTCCATTCATTTTAAGATCAAATGCCTCCAGGTTTGCTAAAGGATCCAAATCGGCAAATAGTTCAATCCACGATTTTTGCTTTAAGCCTTTTCCAGAAGATGATTTGTCCGTTTGAGAAATATTTAATGTTGTGTCCATTTCCTTTTTCTGAAGTTTGATAGCCGCAGGTATTTTTGAAGTGATTGTATTCTGACCAAATAAGTTGTTTTGTTTTATTTCTGTTGATTTGTTGTCAGCACATAGAGACGAAACCAAGGTTAATCCTATATTGGAATTGTTGTCAATGGTGCTTATATCCATAAGACTGTCATTAGTACTAAGTTCAATTAAGGGATTGTTACGTTGCTCATTGACATCTAATACGCCATGGTTAACATCTTTGGCCGCGACTTCATCGTTATTTGAATCTGCATAATCAGACTAAAGAAGCAATAATTTTTTATAAATTGATTATTACAATAAAGTACAAATTCATTTCATTATTTCATACAATGTAATATATAAACTTCTATAAAAAATATCCAAACAAAGAATAAACTAAATAAATTAAAAATACATAACAGTGAAAAAACCCTACAAAATGAAATTTAATGCAAACAACTAAAATAACAGATTCAAAAAAAGAACCCCAATCCACTGCACTTTACTTAACTTTCGCTAAGAAAAGTGGAGGGGAAAGGAAGCATAAGGAACCCTACATAAAAATAAACTATATATCCCTCTCGAGTCCAAGAGCAACACTAGCACCACAGACACTAAATTTCATATGTACCAGCGCATATGTATAAATCTATAATATAACATGATGACTACGACCAAACCATACACATAACGAACAATGGAGTTAACAACCTTTTGAAGCCGATGCAAATGACCAGAGTTAGAGCCCGAAATTACCTCCAAACAATAGTTTACCTGAGACATCAACAACGACCTACCCACCTTCACCCTAACGCCAAGAGGCAAATATGCTTGGACACTATAAAGCCTCCTAAGCTGGAATCGCACACGGGACTACAGAAGATCAATGTGAGTCGAAAAGCATCAATAATTACACCCAAGCACTTCATTTCATCAACAATATTAATAGTAAAGGAACTAACGCAAGTATTAGGCATAGAACCGTCATAGCAACAATTGAACAAAACAGCCTTTGTCTTATTCCAATTTATATCAAGACCATTGGAGAAGATCCACATAGAGAGAGATTGCAACGTTGTGTTAGCCAGATTTTCCAACCTGGCGAGATCAACACTCCTAAAGAAAACATGTATGTCATCCGCAAACAAGAAGAGAACAATTACTAGCAGTAACAGAATCCATAATGTCATTAATGAACATATTAAAAAGTAATGGACCCAGCACAGAACCCTGCGGGACTCCACACCGGATTAGACCAAAATCAGATTGGACACCCTTGTGCACAACAAACTGGGATCTACACTCCATATACGACAAAATTAGTCTACAGGCCGAAACGGAAAACCAAAATTTGACTCCAAGCTTGTGAATAAGCAGCGCGTGGTGAATAGAATCAAATGCCTTAGACAAATCAAGACCAACAAGTAGACCAACATCAGAACCATCAAAAACATCGCAAATAACATCAGTAAGGAATAATAAGTGCACCGTTGTACTGCAGCCACGCCGAAAACCATACTGAGAACTACTCAGGCATTTATGATCGCCAAGAAACTCCAAAATAGCATCTTTAATAATATGCTCTACTATTTTGACATGGCCGGCAAAACACATATTGGGCGCAAGTTAGACTGACTGTATGACGACCCTTTCTTCGGAACAGGCACCACACGAGCCACCTTCAAGCTTGCGGGAAGGATGACGTCATAAAAATACAATTAACAAAATGCAAAAAGTGAACAGATATGTATGAAAAAACACTCTTAAAAAATATAATAGGAATACCATCCAAACCTATAGCTCCAGACTTAATTTTGCGGTGAGCACTTTCAACATCCACCATAAAAACACAGTAAAACCTAAATGGCTCTTGAACAAATGCACCATCAATTCCTACATTTACACCATGATTAGATTTGCCCACATTACAAAAGTAATCATTAAAAGTATTGACATCAATAAAAGCAACATCATCACCACAATCTAGACAACCAAAGGACCTAAGGGACTTCCATAATAAGCGCATGGTGAGATATGCTAGGGCATTGTCCCTGCGAGGAAAAGCCCAGCCGCATGGGATCACTGGTCAAACAATAGTCAATCAGCGAGGTAGAACTATGAGCAAGATCAAAGTGCGTAGGCTTGGAATTGTGGACAATAGAAAGCCCAAGAGACCTACATATGCCCCGCATCAATGTAGATTTCGAAGATTTAAAAAAGTTACAATTAAAATCACCACAGACAAACACATTTGCATATGAGTCAAAAATACCCTCATGAATGCTATGAAAGGAATTCACATCTCCATGAGGCAGGTATATAACGGCAACAAGCAACGTAAATGCACCGAAACACAGCTCGACGCACAAAGATTCGCATACACCATATTGGTCCGATTTAAAAACCACCTTATATGACAATCTGTCACATACATACAACATAACACCGCCACCTACACGGACGATACGGTCACCAAGCAGAGCCTTATAGCCAGGAACTCTCAATGACCTCGACGAGACAGCAGGGTTAAGACAAGACTCAGTCACACCATCCATTTTGTTATTGAATCTAGACGGACGAATACTCTGACGGTTCAAATGGGCATACGTAAGCTTACCACCACCGCAATGGATGTTCTGCCTAAATAATTGAGCATCGCTAATTACAGGACCTAGATTCACATCAGGGCACATAAAAATTAAATAAAAGACTGGGGAGCACAATTATTAAAGTTCGATTAAACATCGAATACATATCAAAATAATAATAATAATAAAAAAATAACAAATTAAGCAATAAAGTTTATAGCAATTCAAAAAAAAATATTTGTTTTAACAAAAATAATATTAAAATTAAGAAAATGAGATCAACAATAATAAATATACATCACATTACTATGTAACAGGAAACTGCACCGCCCCACATTCATTATTCAATACATTCCGCATCTGCGTATCTCGGGATCGATTGGCAAAATTAAAAAGTTCCAGCTGCTCGAACCTAGTTTTCGTTCCATCAGGAAGAAGAACTTCAATCAAGGGCTGGTCACCGTTAAGCAGCTTAAATTTTCTAATATGCTTCCTTTTAAGCAAATCCCTACAGGCATAGATAAGTTTGGAGGTCGACTTAATTAAGTGATCAACTATATACACACGATACTCCACAATGCAATTCACAATAAAAAATAATGGATTACAAATATTTTGTAATTAGCTGCACCCGCTTTCCTTTTGCTTACCTTCGAATTCAAAATAAGTTAAAATTTAAAAAAAATATGCCTAACAGAATATCACAGCTGATGACAATTTTTAAAAATTGCTGAAGCCGAAGTGCACCCCTTTATAACCCAGAATTATTAAAGTATATAAGAAAAATTGAATAGTTTTGTATTTATTGATCTGTCTTTGCAAACTTTTCATGATATTGACCAAAAAAGTTTATCTACGTGGATGCTGTGTCTACTTGAATGTAAAAAATGGGTAAAAACAGTGTGAGACAACCCAGGTGCCAACTATAGATGAATAAGTCTCCTTCCCATCGCATATAAACTGCTATTCAGCGTGCTGTGCGAACGACTGAAACCAATACCAGACCTGGCAAATCCACCATTGACCCGATTTTCACTCTGCGACAAATCTTGGAAAAAAAACAACGAAAAACACATCGACACATTCCACCTATGCGTCAACTCCGCCGCATTCGACAGCCCTATCCGTTCAGAGGGGTTTAAAGCCATGTCTACGTTCGGCATTCCTGCAAAATTAAGACGGCTTTGCAGGATAACTTTAAGTGGCACAAGGTCAGCAGTTAAGGTCGGAAAGAATTTATCGGAGCCCTTCAATACCGAACTAGGATTCCGACAAGGTGACAATTTGTCGTGTGATCTTCTTAACATTCTACTGGGAAAGAAAACACAAAGGTGAACAGAAATGGCACTCTGTACACCAAACAACACATGTTACTCGCCTACGCCGATGACATGGACATAATGGGTCGAACATTGAGAGCGGTAACAACCACCTTTGAACAAATTGAGAAGGGGTCTGGCAGTAAACGGCGAGAAGACCAAGCTGATGGTATCAACGCGCAAGACGTCCAGTAGGCTCGGATCAACTGTGGAACTTGAGAACTACAGCTTCGAGGTAGTTAAAGATTTTATATACCTTGGTACCGCCTTAAATAAAACGAATGACATCCGTTTTGAACTTCGGAGAAGGATTGTGATGGCCAACAGATGCTACTATGGCCTAATTAAGTAGAAACAAAGCCACCTCCCGCCAGACCAAACTCACACTTTACAAGACGCTGATACTATATATATTTTTTATATTTCATATTGCCCAATCTTTCGACCTTAAGGCTGTAAGCTACATTTCACAATTAAATAAAAATTTTATCACATTAAGCGGCTTAAATGTAAAAGGGAGGGATATTGGACTACTAAAGAATATTATACCGATCAAATTACAAAAAAAAGTTTTTGATTATTATTATAGGTTATGATTAAAAAATTTGATTAATTGGATTATGACTACTCCAGTAGGAATGGAATGGTTGTTAATCCACACCAAAAGAATATTATTATATATAAAAATGAGTTGTATTTTTATCTAAATAAATTGTATCACAAATATAAAAAATTAAACATACATACGTATATTAAAAAATTGAATTGAATATGAACTACTCCAAAACATATGGATCTGAAGCATTAGTACTGGCGCAAGCAGATGAGTCAGCTCTTGGGGTGTTTGAAAGAAAAAAAATCTCTGAAAGATCTACGGGCCGATCTGCGTCGACGATGAATATCGGCGTCGAATGAATTACAATTTACAATTTGAGCTGCAGCGACTACGATGGCAATGCCATGTTGTGCGAATGAATGAGAATGTCCCATCTAAAAGGTATATAAAAGCGAGCCAACTGATGGTTCCCGTAGAAGGGGAAGGCCACGAATCAGATGGAAAGGCCAAGTAGAAAACAACATCTTGGAACGTGGTCATTCAAATTGGAGGAGATGCATACAAGGCCGAGGCGCTTGGAATTCTTTTTTAAGCTCGGCTTATGGAACAACCATTCTGTAACAAGCCAGCTAAGTAAGTAAGTTTATCTTCACGTCTTCTATAAGAACGCCACCAGTTCGTCTATAAGAAGATCACTATACATTTTTATTTTCGTGGAATATAAAGACTGTCTATAAAGACCATTAGTTTGCCAGCTCTCCTATAGCTCTTTTATAAAACGACCTCAAGATCTTTTATATGCAAATCTCGGAGTCTATAAAGACCACCGAAAACTAAAATTGGAATCCTGAAGCTTGGATTTAGGATCAATGTGGGGCACAGCTACCAACTGATTACAATTTTTTCTCAAGGTGGCTTGTTCAATCAAATCAAAATACATATTTTGTGTATGTGTGCGTGTTTTGAATACTATGTCAAATAAATTGAAATATATTCAAGTTTAATTGAAATGAAAATGATGTTTTTAACTCGTTCGTTTGGGTTAATCAACAAATCATCAAATTTGGAACTAAATGGTACTCAAAATTAATTTATGGTCGATATTAATGTGTGGATTGTTTAGTTTTTCTGACATATGCTGTTTTCTGTGAAAATAAAATAAAATGTTAATACATGTTTAAATATTACCCACATTCGCTAACGAAGTAGCGGGCATATGCTAATTTCAATATATTTCAATTTATTTTAAATTATTTGGTATTCACAACAAATATAAATACAAAATACGTATTTTGAACAAACAAATTACCTGTGCCCTATCTTGTAATTATTACACCATGGTATATACCATGGTACTAATGAAGCTAGTCATTATTATACCAACTTTTAGATTTATAACTCGGGCAAACATTGTTCTGATTCTGATAGATCAGTATTTTTTCGTTTACTCAATAACTTGTTCTAATTCTTAACTATTCAACTTGCTCGTTCGACGTTTTTCACCACAAAAGTAGAACACATGTATTTATATGAATGTTACCGAAATACGTCGAACGTATAAAATTCATTTTTTCTTTTGTTGAAAATAAAAACAAAACATTCAGAAGATATGAAATTTCGAATGGGAACATAAAATATTTGGATTAATTTAATAAATTTTCAATTTTGATTTGCGGTTTGTATTATTCGCTTGAAGATATAGATACGACTCATTTTGCCATACTGGGATGTTGAATATTTTTGTACGCCCCGTCGGATTATAGGTAACGTTGTATAATAGTTCGGATAATAGAAATTTGTTAAAAAATAATAAAAATTGTTAAATTAAAATATTTTTCATTTGTAAATTAACTTCAACATTACAGCACTCACAGAAAAATCTTTCGGAGTATTGGGAAGAGTTTTTAAGTGCGGTCGTTTACTTATAATAGTAGAAATATTGCCAATATTTTCAATTAATTCAATAAAATTTTCCAGATTTCTAATGAATAATAAATATAAAATCTACTTCCAAACACAGCAATCGAATTTTTAAAAATTTTTATATATTATTGTACCTCATTAACATCTTATGAGAGTGTTTGATTTCTTAAAAAATATTGCTAAAACTAAACGAACGATTTGCATATCGCTCATTTCTTGTAAGACCGGCATAAATAAAAAAAAATCAATTTTACCGAAAAACAACTAAATTCTTAATTAAATATTTATGTTTACACAAAAAATTCTAATACAGCCTTATATGAGTTAAAAAGAAAATATTTTTGAATGGTAATAAACCCACTTAGAAAACCTGAAACCCATTCCTGAACCGAAATCATGAATTTATAATAATCATGGTTAGGAAACCTATCACATATGTATATGTTACGGACCGTACGTAAATTATAATTAAACAATTATATAAAACACAAATAACTTACAGCGAAGAATAATGTTTGGTCATTATCAAACGCCGGGATGTTTTTTACATTATCTGGGGCTTCTTCGTATTGTGTCAAGTCTTTGAGAATGCAAAAGTCATATCTTGGTTTCTGTTCAAGAGCTTTGGAAATTGTATCAAAAGTCGCACTTGTTTTCAGTCCAAACTGCTTCAATTCAGTTATATATGAAACCAAAACATGGGAAAACATGTTACATCGAGCGGCAGCTAATAAATCGATCTGAAAATAAGAAAAACATGACATTTTAATAATTAAAATAAGCACTTATGCGTAATCACCATTTTTGGTGAATAGATGTTTTTAAAAGTGAGATTTTATACTGTTTCAAAAACTAAGTATTGATAACTATTTAGATTTTTTAAATATTTTCACATATTCCCGGCATAGCTTTTTATATTCTTGGCCCTTTGCGAAGTCCATCATCAGACCAAAATCTCTAGGTTTGCTCTTGACGAATAGTTCGTAAATCGCGAATTACGGTTATAACAAATACAAATAAATAAATGTAATTATTGTAATATTCGATTTTTTCGGAAGGTGCTAGCGACATTAAGATTTTATGCAACATTAACTGTTGGAGAGCAATGGGGAATTTCAATGATTCAGCCATATATAAGTCGATATGTTTATCATGTCGCGAACGCTATTTTTGACACGATATTTTGTTCGACAATTATATTCCTTATAACAAAAGCGACTAGAAGCGGCATCTGCAAAAAAATATTTTCCAAGTTATCAGTGTCATTTGCAGGAGGTGCCATCAATTTCATCTTTTCTCCAGAAATATGAGTTTTTTTAATTTTTGAATTTGTTGTTTATAAAGGGCCCCACACACTACACATCATGTCGATTAACCCTTTTGCGTATGTGTGAGATTGACTAGTGTTTGGTAAACTCTTCAATCATTATTCCAAAAAATTGCATTTTGAGTCGTAAATTCAGTTCTTTTTTATATCGTCACAATCCCAGTTGTTCAAAAAATATCAATTATCTTCTATTACATAGTTATATAGCTAGTTACTTAGTGATCTAGTTACTTTATATCCAAAAATGGAACATAAACTAGGCTGTTGGATTTATTTGTCGATTGAAAAAGTTGTCTAAGTATATCATTCCAATTCAGTAGTTACTAGTAATGCAAAGGGTAATGAATCGACTTATATATATATATATATATATATAGAGACGCGAATTAGGGATTCACAAATGGATCAAACCGTATAATTGTATACAATACTCTATTATAATAAATATCAATAAATAAAGATATGTATACAGAATTAATTTTATAATATATTTGAATTTTTCCAAACTGTTATACAATCTACTTTGTTATATATACGTAACTAGGTAAATGTACTGCCATTTTGTACTACCGAAATGACTGTCTAGGACATGAAGAGGTAACTAGTGGTAGTTACAGGTAATTAGTAAAATAACTAGTTCATAACCTGTTACTCGAACTACTGGGAATATTATTATCTGCACACACGATATAATTTACTATCGAGTTTGAAAATGAATAAAATTCACAAGATTGAAAGAGTTTAATTTTCAAAATCAAAACTATTGATATTCTTCATGTCACACATACATAAATAAACTTTCAGAAAAAATTACACATACTACGATAAATGCTGTACGGCAGACGGACCCCAGCAAGCATTTGGAAGTGAGTTTCTAACTCCATCTTCAAATAATTATCTACTTTGACACTTATTTTTTGTAAAAGGGTGATACTTCGTAATTTTACAATAACAAATGAATTGTTATCCAATTTCGATCGTCTGTAGTAACTACTTACCTAGTAGTTTAAGTAACTGGTGATTAACTAGAATCTTTACTAGTTACCTTAACTACCACTAGTTACCACATCATGTCCTAAACTGGCGAATTTAACGTGGGCATGTCATTGGGGAAGTCAATTGTCCCCTGCCAGTCTTACCAGTAACCAACCATTTAGGTAGTAAAAAAATGTATAGTACTTTGTGTATAAAATTGTAGTCATCTAAGTGGGTAGATACCTGCTATCTGTACCCATTGAATACTTCTGAACAATCCTTCGGAATGTAGGATATTTCTAAAAGATGCCTATTTATAGAAAGTCTGTAAAATAATAAAATTCCGCAGAAGACATAGATTCGTATTTATTTTAACTCCATTTTAAAACTTACATCATTACGATATAAAAACGAGTTGGACAGCATTTCCTTCTATATATGACTGCTATAAATCTGAATAATAGTGAATTTAAACCGACAATTGTTTTCAATAGTAACAAGAATACAAAAAAATGACAAAAGAATTGTTATATTTTGTTTTTCAATAGAAATTTTTTTTCGAAGTGAAAAACATTGATTATTAGGTTATCCATTGATAATATGTAAAATATTTGATTCATTACTCTTCGCATTACCAGTAACCAAGGTAGATATGTAAGGTAGCCGCATCGGCGAATTGGGAACATGATATGTCAAAATTGTTATCAAGGCGAATAAAAATGAATTCGCCTTCTATTTTTCAACCAATCAGAACAAAGCATTTGTGAAGTTTATAAAATATTTATTTACTTTTTTAAATTTGTGTGTGTTTTTTCCAAATCGTAAATTTATGAAGCATAAATGATAAAAATGATTCGTTAATGTTAAGGAACTGATGACAACGAATACATTTTTGGAGAAACAAAGACGTGGACCCATTTTGAATATGTTTTCTGTGGTAGTAACACCTCAGCATACCAACATATGTATGTGGAAATCTAAGGTTCGAAATTACAACCACATTATTGAAATTGGGACGTATCATTATATGGAAGCGAACATAGAAAGTTTTGCAAGGAAATTTGCTTTCAATAAGAAACCAAAATGCCAATTTGAAGAAACTGAATTCTAACAATATTTAACAACAAAACTCCAGGATGCAGTTCTGGTTTCCTAGATCAATATCCTTATCATATGAATTGTCTATTTTGAAGGTCTCACGTGAAATGCGCCGCCAAATCGTTATAGAAAGTCCCAAGATAATAGATTCTTATAAAAATCCAAAATGCTCTTCTCGTGTAGTAGTAAAAGATCTTCCTAAAGAAGTTCATGTGAGGGTATCCTATACATGACCTATATGTTTTGTTTCTTCAGAAATTGTCTTCATTAATTTTCATTTTTAATTTTATTTTTTTTCGGCGAATTCAAGAAAAAAAATGTTGTGACATATAATATTAAGGTTGATAAGGTTACCTCATTAATATACCTTGCCAGTAACCAAGGCCTATATAAGGTCGGCCAGTAAGCACAGGTGACTATAAAGTTTGCTATCAAATCATATTTTGAAACCTATACATACATACACACAATTATGTTAGACGTCAAAACAAAAATTTCAATATTTTGTCAACATTCAATTAAATTTCAATTTCTATCGTTTTGTGAAGCACATTTGGACTATTTCAAGAGTTTCAAGAAGATTTTCAAGTAAATTATCCCACAAAATATAAATTGTGTTGTGTTTTGGCTGTGTTTTTATTTAAGGGGACCCCCCCATTCTCGGGGTCAAAATTTTTGTTGATATAATTCGAATCTACACTGATTAAAGAATGTCTCTACAAAATTTCAAGTGAAAATCTCAAGAACTCTTGAAGATATATCCGATTTATTGTGTCAGTATCAAGTGACGGCTGAAGGGCTTCTCAAACTTTAAACGCGCGATAACTCAAAAACTAATAATCCAATCGGTTCCAAATTTTGCAACGTTTCTCTGGGAGTGTATAGCTCTCGTATGAACTAGGATAAAGCCAATCGGTGAAGATCTTCCTTATTTTTTAACTTGGTTTTTGGTAAAAAATCTGTGATTTTCCAAAAATAACAGCAGCCTCTTTTCGGGATCGTAATGATCTCAAAACGGTTGAGGATGTTGAATTAGCTGTGAAAAATGTCACGGCCACTCTTCTGAAGAGCTATGAGGCATCTTGTCCTCTAACATACCCTGGGAAGAAATCTCAGCCGGTATGGTGGTCGCAGGACCTTGCAACCTTGCGGAAGGCTGCAAGGAAAGCTTATAATAGAGCTAGTAAGACAAAGCTCAGTACAGATTGGGATGTCTATAAAAGACAATTCAATAGGTACAAGGGCGAAATCAAGAAAGCTAAACGTGAGTCTTGGGTCTGCTATAGCGAGTCGATCGAAGGAGTCAACGAAGCGGCCAGATTCCGCAGAGTACTCTCTAAGGATCCAAAATCCATAGGAAGTATTAAGCGAAGTGATGGAACGTGGACAAACTCTGGTAGTGAGACTCTTGATCTTCTATCATCAACCCACTTTCCTGGTTGTAAGGACTATAGGGAAGATGCGCAGTGTGTGCACCAGCCTACAGTTCGGACGAGGAAAGAGGAGAAGTTGATAGAAGACACTATATGATACCCAAAAATGATATGGGCGATAAATAGTTTTCAACCCTACAAATCTCCTGGTCCAGATGGTATAACACCGGCCATGCTGCAACACGCAGATGAACGGATAATATCATATCTGCAGGACATTTTTAGGGCTTGTTTACTTTTGTCGTACATACCCAGTCTATGGAAAGAGGTTACCGTGACCTTCATCCCGAAAGCCGGGAAGCCAAGTCATACGGTACCTAAAGACTATAGACCGATTAGTCTTTCTTCCTTTCTACTAAAAACTTTAGAAAGGTTACTAGACTCAGAAATTAGAGATACCATTGACCGTAATAAACTTAGTAAATCCCAGCATGCCTATATCAAGGGCAGATCAGTGGATACAGCTCTGCATGAGGTGGTTGGATACATCGAGAAGAATATGGAGTCCTCTGGCTACACGTTGGCAGCATTCCTCGACATCGAAGGAGCTTTCAACAATGTGAAGCTAGAGGCAATCCATTCTGCTCTCGTAGACATAGGTATCCCCTCACTCCTTACGGAATGGATTGATAAAATGCTGGAAAGCAGAATTATCAACTCATCCCTAGGAGAGAGTTCCGTGAGGAAATCTGTCAACAGAGGCACACCTCAGGGTGGAGTTCTTTCCCCCCTTTTGTGGCTTCTGGTGATAAATGAGATACTTATGAAATTCAATCATCTCAGGATAAAGGTTGTAGCCTATGCCGATGATGTAGTCTTGTTGGTTGGGGGTAAGTTTATTAAGACAATATCAGACATCCTGGAGGGTGCTCTTTCAACCCTGTCAAATTGGGCTTGCACCAAAGGTCTTGGTGTAAACCCCACAAAAACCGAACTGGTACTCTTCACTAGGAAATACAAAATTCCTAGTTTCCGTCTGCCATCACTTGGTGGAGTGACATTAACCCTTTCTGATGAAGCTAAATATCTTGGCACTGTCCTAGACCGCAAGTTACTGTGGAATAGGAATGTCGAGGAACGCCCTAAGAAGGGATTGATGGCACTCTATTCATGCAAGAACTACATAGGCAAGAGTTGGGGATTGAGACCCGGAATTATACACTGGTTGTATACGACGATTGTCTTACCAATACTTACTTATGGATGTCTTGTCTGGTGGCAGGGGGTGAATAAAAAGAAGCTGCTGACAAAACTGAGCTTAGTACAGCGATCGGCTTCAATTCTGATCACCGGAGCATTAAGAAGCACACCACAAGCAGCCTTGAATGCAATCTTGAATCTCCAACCATTGGACATTCTGATCAAATTCCAGGCTGCTAGGTGTGCCCTGAGACTCCGGGAAACAGATGCCTTGACATCGCTGAACTATGGTCATGCCAGCATTCTAAACATAACGCCAAGTTATGACCTTTTTAGGGGGGATAGTCATATCAGTGACTATATTCCCCCCCATAGGGATTTTAATGACATTAAAGTCGAATTTCCTAACAGGGAATCCTGGACTAGTGGCTCCCTACCTCTGCCAGGTCTGTCAATCTTCACAGACGGGTCCAAGATGGAGGAAGGCACTGGCGCAGGCGTCTACTGCAGGGAATTAGGTATACGAAACTCATATAAACTCAACAATGATTGTAGCGTTTTGAAACCCCCTATTAGCTATTTCATTGGCAGAATTTGCGCGTTCCATTGCGAGGTAGTCGGCAACAGATGGCTAAGGGAACCTGCATGCAGAATCTCTAAATCTATCTGGCCAGAATTCTCTCGTAAAAGAACGTCTTCGCTGCTGGATCACAACAAGAGGGAGATTAAGATCGTTGTGGGGATCATTACTGGTCACTGCAAAGTTAGATCTCTCACTTCTAAGTGGGGCTCCAGTGGAGAGGATTACTGTCGTCTATGTGAGGATGAAGAAGAAGTGGAAACAATTGAGCACATCCTTTGCAAATGTCCATCGCTGATCAGCAGAAGACATAAACAGTTTGGATGTTATGAAATTGATAATCTAGTCTTCTTCTCCAAAATAGACCCTAACCTAATTCTAGGCTTTGTCAAAAAATTGACTTGGCTAAAATAATGTCATTTCCGCTCCCACCCATTCTGACAACCTCTCTCTCTCTACTCTTCCACTATCTTTTCTTCTTTCTCTTTATAGGTACACCTATACATAAAGGATGATCACAATGGACATAGTTTCCGAGTGGACGGTTGTTACAACAGCCGTACATCCCTAACCTAAAGTAACCTAAGTAGCTATATAAATATATAATAGCAGACAATTGATATTTATTGAACAACTGGGTAGTTAAATGAAAGAAGGTGGAAATCCGATAGTTTCATAATTTAGCTGTCGTTCTATAAATATTTGTCATCGAATAAAAATTTTTGGATAATACCATGGTACAATAATACAAGGTAGGGCAGCTTGAGGTGAATAACAAAAAAATAACACGTGTGGCTTCTTCTACCAAAAATAAAATAAATATACACAACAAGTGCTTGTGTTTATTTGACATTTTGACATTTGACATTTTCAACACAAAAATAAAAACGCGAAAATGAATGAAAGGTTATGATTTCTTCCCAAAATCCAGAAGGGAATACCATCAAATGTTTATTTTAATTTTTAAATGTTAAAAACAAAATTTTCATTTCAATTAAATTTGAATATATTTCAATTTATTTTGAATTTATTTGACATAGTATTCAAAACAATACATACACAATATGTGTATTTTGATTTTATGGAACAACCCACCTTGAGAAAAAAATTTTAATCAGTTGGTAGCTGTTCCCTACCTTGTAATAATTATACCAAGTTATATTTAATAAGGTCTAAGTGACAATCATATGGTCTCAAACTTTTTTCTTTATTGTTTGTAAAGTAAATTGTCAAAAACATTTTCAATATTACATTTCGATTTCAAAAATGGTCTTTAAATTTAGGCTTTTTTAATAATAAAAATTCAAGAAAACCACATTCATAGAATCTTTTAGATATTTGAAAAAAAATCGACCACATGATAATGAACTATTTGGTTTTATATACAATTTTTGGTTTTTTGTAATTTGACTAAAATATTTGACTAAAATACTATTGGAATTTGACTAAAATACTTATTTGCCTATGAAAAACTATTGGCCAGCTAAAGAGACCGCTTTTGTCTTCTGAAAGAAGACTTTTTGTTATTCTATATATAAAGTTGGTCTTGTATAACCTTGGGGACTTTTGCTATTCAATAAATTATTTAGGCTTATAAAAGAATAGGTCCTGATCATCTATTATATGAAGGCTATTGCCAAAGGTAGATAATTAGTTCTTTTTTTCAATAAAATGTTTTGTAATAAAATCCGCAATCGAGAGGAGATTTCTATACAAAGACTTTGGGATTAAAAAATATCTTGGTTTTGTCTTTTTGTCCATTTAAAGCACTTTTTTTGTGTTGTTTATTATATAAAAATTAGATATCGTAAGCACTTCTAAAATAACACATCTGCAGATAAATCAAGCGTAGATAAATGGACGTACAGGGTCTTTTCCAAAATTTACCTGTCTTTATTTGTTTTATTTTACTTGTTGTCTGTGGGAAAGTTTAAAGCCCTGACTGCTCTGAAGTGATTTCAGTGAGTTCTTGCTCGATCATGTACATATGTAGTTGGCTTAAGTCTAGTTTAGGGGCTCCACTCGGATCGCTTTGAAATTTTTACCGTAAGTAGTCCTCGTTGAGCTGATGACAGTGATATACATTTTATGTGGGGGAAATCCATACTTCCCGAGATATGGGCTTTGAAATTTCGGAGCATATCATGGTTAAAACGGCACGTTTACTAATGCCACCAAAGCAATATGGGTATCATTTTAAAGGGTTTGGATAGTGCTTTGAAAACAAATATTTGGATTCGTACCCATGTATGCGCCTGTCCATAAATGAAAGTCTAAAACCCCGGCCGAAGGCCTGCTACTTACAAACAATAAATTTGATTCTGAAATTGCTCTTAAAAAGGATTTGGATTGCGTATCCATGTATGCGTCTGTCCATAGGTGAAAGACTTAAGACCCGGCCGAAGGCCGGCTACTCAAAAGACCCTAAATTTGATTTTGAAATTGCTCTTAAAAAAGGATTTGGATTGTGTAGCCATGTATGCGCCTGTCCATAGGCGAAAGTCTTAAGCCCCGGCCGAAGGCCGTCTACTCAAAAGACCCTAAATTTGATTTTGAAATTGCTCTTAAAAAAGGATTTGGATTGCGGAGACCCGGCCGAAGGCCGGCTACTTAAATTCGAAACACGAGAATTCATGCTCGGCATGCAATGTTTGTGCTTTTTTGGGAAAGTACTCGTTATAAGCTTTAAAATGATACCCATATTGCCTTTGTGGCATTAGTAAAACTGCCGTTTTAATCAAGATATGCTCCGAACTTTCAAGACCCAAAGCGATCCGAGTGAGGCCCCTAAACTAGACTTGTTCCCCTACATGTGGTAAAAATTTAAAAACGATTCGCGAGGCCGCCATAAAAAAGACTTAAGCCAAAAAATTTCCTGTTGGGTATTCCTACATAAACGATACAATCAAATCAGCTGAGTATTGCAGGTACCTTGCATAATTGTATCATGGGTAAACATTTATAAATTTTCTGGGATATCTATAAGTATATGTATTTTTACCTTTTGTATTGAATCCATTGACAGGGTATCAAAATTTTGCTTTGCTGCACGAACGTGTGCTTGAGCTGTTCTGAATTTGTCTACGCCCCTCCCGGTATCTGGATCTAATTCCGAACTTGATGACTTCATCCACTCCAAAGCTGCCCTATACTCGGTTCGTTCTTTTTCCATAACAGATATAGTGGATTGTGTGTCAACAATGGCACGATTTCGAAATATATCGACTTCATGCTGTAACCGCAATAATGGCATTCTTATACACATCCTCTGCTGGCCGCAATATGACACTGATTTTCCGGTATTGGAAATACTTTGACCTGTCGTTTTACTCCTCTTGCCTGCTTCTTTCAAGAATCTTCCAAAAACAGATTCTTCCTGTGAGAGTATACACAGACGTTCTTGATATTGCTCAATAATTTTGCTTAATTCAGTGCTCGTCTCCGAAATTGACTTAAAGACTTCAATTTTTGCATCAAGATCTGCATCAGAAGATATAATGTGTTCATCTTCCTTGGTTCCCAATTTTCTCTGGACAGTTTTCTTTGTAACCCAAAAATGTTGCATTATGACTTTTAAACGGAAAAAATATTTGATACACCGTCTTGTTAAAACTTTCAATATGGATATCAAACAAAATATATTAGCATTTTCCTACCCTTTACTCCCACCAGCCAATGACAAAAAACGTAAAACGATTTTCGACTAATCGAATTTATAGTCGACTTTTAGGCTGATAGAAAAATAATTTAATCGACTTTGGGTCTGTTCCCTTACTGCAATAATCTACTACCTTTTACTACGAAGATTAATTTTCCTTTATGATATTGAAGAAAAATTAAAAGGTTGTTTACATTTAACCGGATTTGGTTAACCCAGTGGGTTTAAATTTTCAATTCCTTTGAATATATGCCAAATAAATCCTAATAAAGTAGGTTAACCCGATAAAAAGTTCTAATGTAAATGCCGTAAAAGATTTAGTAGATTCTTGGAGTAAGGCGCGTTTAGACTATGCCTTCTAAATATACTCGATATGTACATCGAGGTACGATATTCTATCTGTTTGGACTAGTGTTATTAATATTAAAATCATGTAAAGTTAATTAGTTTACTTATACATACACCTTCAAAGGGTGAAAGACATACGAAAATGCAGGCCTGAAATGTTAAGTTGGCTTTATATGAAATGCCAATTTGTAAAGGAACTTAACAAGTCAATCCTGAAGTCCTCGTATGTGTTTCCCCCCGTACATGCGCCTCAAGCATGATGCAATAATAAAGAGCTCCGTTTTACGCGTTTTCTCTTATCGCGATAACGAGCACAAAAAGTTACAATATATTTTATTCCAATGTACAACGTACATCAACTTCAAGCGTTGATGTTATCTTCCCCTTAAAGGGCTAAGCAGAATGGTCGCGTTGAGCCATCCGTCGCGTTATATGTTATCGAAAATAAAAACAACCACAAGGAAACGATAATACAAACGTTCGATGTTGATTTGCGTTGCGCTTCGAAGTAAAATATATTTTAACTTTTTGCGTGCGTTAACGCGATAACAACGAACGCTCAACGCAAACAAGCTCACGTTGAGCTATCCGTCGCGTTATATGTTATCGAAAATACAACAACCACAAGGAAACGATATGCGTTTGTGTTATCGTTTCCTTGTGGTTGTTGTATTTTCGATAACATATAACCATTGGTCTGTTCCCGTACTGCAAGAATCTACTCGATTTTACTATTTTCTTTGATATCATAAAGAAAAATTCGTTATCGTAGTAAAAAGTAGTAGATTCTTGCAGTGCGGGAACATACCACATAACAACTTATAAATTACAATTTTTTCATACTGTGGCTTGTTATGCCAAAGTCATGTACAAAATGTGTGACTGTGTGTGTAATGTTTTGAAAATTGTTTGTAAATGCCTTGTTAACCTCGAAGTGAGGCTCCAGCGAAATTCTCATGCAGTTTATGTCGTTGTCAGCTAAGTACTTCGCTTTGTTACAAGAGACATTTGGGTATGAAAGGTTTTTTGTATAGAAGCAATAGCTTCTGGGGAGAGTATCCCAACAAAAAACTAAGGGAACTGATGAGGATCAGTGGCGTGATCCATACATTCCCCACTAATAAATAGTTGTTTTTTATAAAAACAACAAACTGGGATTGAGCCTGACTATTTTGCAAAAACAAAATACAAATGGTATCCCAAATAAACCGCCAAACCTACTGTTCTGAAAAAATATATTCGAAAATCGAAATATATGATTTGTGAGTGATTCAATATATAAATCATATCCCCAACTCGATTTTGAAAAGAAAAACTGACATTCCATTCATTTTTCGCGTTTTTGGTTGCTTTTGGTTTCATCTATTCTGACATTATTCCCTATAAGATAGAGGTGTATTTCTTTCCTTTCTGACTAAATTTCTACCTTGTATAATTGTACCATGAGTTAAATATATTTTTGCGTGCATTAAAGCGATAACAAAAAAGCTCAACGAGGCCATTCTGCATTTCATATAAACATTATAGCATATAAGCATTTTTGGGTTTCTGTAACATGTCCAATTGTCATTTTTTTAAAATGTCTATTGGCCTAAGTCTTGATTTAGATTAGACGAGTTTACTTGCGGCAATTCTTGTCGTTCTCTTTTGAACTTGCTTCATGCGTTTATACAAGGCAATTCGGTTTCCAAAATATTTTTCTATTTGTTGTTTTTTTACATTTAAATCTATATAAAATGTCAACAAATACGAAATACACAAAACGAATTGCCAGAAAATTGTCGGTACGAGCAATTTTTTTTTCATTTCTATTCCCCTTGCCCCTCTCTCCTACAAACAAAGACTTGCCGCAAGTAAACTCGCCTAATCTAAATCAAGACTAAGAAGAAATTTTGGTCTCTATAGCTCTTTTGTCTTCTGAAAATCTTCAATAAATTTTTTAGGCTTATGTAAGAATATGTTATAAATGAATATGAAGCCTATTCCCAAAGGTAAATAATTGTTCAATACAATGTTTTGGTACAAAATTCTACATTCTAATCATTAAAGTTCCGTTCCAGAACCTAAAAGATTCTACTCATTTTACATGTTTTGCAACTTTTTACTCGAAAACCGTTCCTCAACCCACAAAACTGGTAAAACATTGACTCAAATTGGCGTTCTCTTTGTTAAATTTTTACTCGAGAAATTTGGTCGAGTAAAAATGATAAACAGGAATGCCTACTTCTGATTGGCTGTTATGTTGATTTTTTTTTTTGGCGTATTTACTAGATTTGCGTTCCCGAACTTTTCAAATTATTTTGTACTCTGAGAGCGATTTTGGAATGTTTCCCTTTTACTAGAATTACTATTAAAAAAGTACTGGAACAGACCAGGTATAATTATTACAAGGTAGGGCACAGCTACCAACTGATAACAATTTTTTCTCAAGGTGGCTTGTTCCATCAAATCAAAATACATATTTTGTGTATGTGTGTGTATTGTTTTGAATACTATGTCAAATAAATTGAAATATATTGAAATATAATTTAACATGTTCGTCTGGAAGTAATTACTTTGTTATGGATGAAACAAACATTTGATGGTATTCCCTTCTGGATTTCCTCTCATTCATTTTTTTGCGTTTTTAGTTTTGTGTTGAAAAAATGTCAAATAAACACAAACACTTGTTGCGTATATTTTTTTATTTTTGGCAGAAGAAGCCACACGTGCATAGTTGCTTTTTTGTTATGCACCTCAAGCTGCCCTACTTTGTATTATTGTACCATGATTCTAATGACCAAAAAGTAAACAAATATTTTTAATACTTCAAAATGCTGAATTCTGATTGGTTGAATGAAATACGCTTCAAATTCGATATGTTACGGCATGGCCTTGTTACGTCGAATCAATTATTATTCGCCTTGTTAACTATTTTGAAATAGTTTTAATTTATAAAATTTAACAGAACATTGAGTACATAAAATATCCCGAAATTTGTTCGACTTTTTTTTTTATTGAAAAGTCTAAAAATCGAAGTCGACTTTTTAAATTCGACTTCCGATGTTTATTCATAAATACTTGGTTTATTATCACAATCCCCATATTGCCAAAAATACACATTTCAGAACTTATTTTATCGAGTGATAACAATGCGGTTCTCATGCAGTCTCCATCCCATCTCATTCGTAAATATTTCGTTAACCTATATTGGGTTCTTCTTTATCGGCAATTTTGTCTTCTTCCACATTCGTTAGCAACTGGAACGTGTTTCTATTTTTCTTGCAAATAATAAATCGACTAACATTGTTCGACCCTTAATTATGAAGTAATTACTTAGTTCCCCATACAAAATGTTCTGAGCGAACACGGAAAAAATAAAAATCCCAAAAAGACTTTTATTTTTGACGGAAAAAATAAAAGTCCCAAAAAAACGATTTTTGTACGTAGTTCAATTCGAATCACTCTCTGAATAACCAAGAAATCTGTCCCATCCCTAACAATTGAGAGCATTTATCGAAAATAAATTAATATTGACAGCTTGAAAATATTTATAAAATTTTCAAACTTTTTTAGTAAAATTGAAAATGATGAATGAAAAGTAAAAAATTGTCTAGTTTTTATATATGCAGCAGGATGTACATTTTGTTATCTACATAATGCAATATGAATTTCTTTCCTTTTGGTTCTAATTAGCGTACAAAACAAGAAACCAATTTGGGGAAACTCAAACAAAAAATTCTCCAAATTTTTATCTGTGACATTTGAATTTAGAAAATATAAAAATGGATGAAAACAACAATATTTTCAGAAAAAATGGAAATGATGAATTAAAAGTATATAGATATGGGTCCATACTATAGTCAGGAGAAAGAGAATTAATTTTTCTATTTAGATCCATATGTGATTCATGCAAATATGTTAGAATTTTGGTGTAAAACAAGAAACAAAAAGTTTGAAATAAAAAACTCTGATGACATGAATTAAGAATAGTGTTGTATGAACGGGTTAATTCATGTACGTAATTCTGAGAGCGAACTACGTTGTTCGAATGCCCGTCAGAACATGGCATAATAAAACAAGTTTATGAAGAAAATCGAAAGTCGATTAGTCGAATGTCGACCACCAAGTAATCGAAGGGGCATAAACTGTAGTTCCTTTGAACTATGTAATTACTTCATAATTAAGAGTCGAACCACGAATGAGAGAGGGAACAACGCTCGTCTGTACATGGCATTAGACTTTTCAATACAAAAAGTCGATTAATCGAAAGTCGATTTACTTATCCCTAATCATAATTTGCCTAAACCTCATTCGTAAACAACACGGTTTCCATTTAGTCTCTATCCCACCTCATTCGTAAACTTTCGGTTATACCATTTTGAGTTCATCTTTATCGGCCATTTTGTCTTCTCCTCCCATTCGTTAGCAGGTGGAACGTTTTTAAATTTTTTCAGTCGTCGTTTTTATTTTAGCTCCGTTCCCAAAACCTAAAAGAATCTACTAATTTTACAAGTTTTGCAACATTTTCACTCGAAAACCGTTCCTGAACCCATAAAACTGGTAAAGCATTGAATCAAATTTAAGAGAGCACAAAACAAACAAGTCAAACTAAACAAGTCAACAATTTACTTTATAGTTTTCTGAAGAATAAACGGAGATTAGCAATCGTTTTGTATGAGCATTCAATGCATGCCATTGAAATGTTTATTATATGGATTCCAATATGCAAATAAATTCGACTAAAAATGATGAGCCTGAGAAGATTTTACATTCATCCCTCGCAGGTCATGAGCTTCGCGATACCTTTTACTCCAACAGCAAGAAAAAGAAAGGCTGCGTTTTCCATGTTGTTCTCAACTCCCTTGGCCTTTTATTGCAAAGAAACAGCATGTCGATTTCCGGTAGCACTGTTGCTACCAAGGACCACGTCGTGCCAATTTCCGACATAATAGGAGGAAGATGTGTGCGGTTACAGAGAACACAAAGATTTAAATCACCTGGTGGATGTGGCGTTTGTACCCCAACTATTTCCGATAAAGATAGAAAAGAGAATGAAGATGAAGATGCATACTTGTATGTTTTTGCATATATTTTAAAGAGGAACATGAGAAACAATGTAAGAAGAGAACGGACTGTTATCACTTTGAGATTTCGATCATTTGATAGCCACGAGGATAATATGCGGGAAGCGGAGAAATGGTACAAAACATTGAAGATTCACAGAGAAAATTATCTATTGGAGGGAGCAGCAAGAGATTGCAGATTCAATATACCACCGAAACGTCTTCTAATCTTACTGAATCCCAAATCCGGTTCAGGTAAGGCGAAGGAGTTATTTCATCGACAAGTTGTTCCAGTACTAAATGAGGCCGAAATTCCATATGACCTATATGTAACTAAACATTCTAATTTTGCGCATGAATTCGTTAAAAAGAGAGACTTGTCTATGTGGACGGAAATCGCTGCAGTAGGCGGAGATGGTCTTTTCCACGAAGTTGTGAATGGCTTGTTTAAGCGTGTCGATTGGGAAAACGTAATCGAAAACATATCATTAGGAATTATTCCATGTGGGTCAGGTAATGGACTTGCCCGTTCTATAGCTCACTGTAATGAGTAAGTATATCGTAAAAATCTTTTTTTATTATTCATAATATCATTTGTTATTAGAGAACCATATGATCCAAAACCGATACTGGGAGCAGCTTTAACGCTTGTTGGCGGACATTCCACACCTATGGATATAGTTGAAATTGAGCTTCAAAATAAGGTAAGGAACAAATCAAGATTAGAGGCGCTACCTGTGCCCTTATTACAAAGATATTATTATTTTTTATGATCGGTAGCTCTGATGTTACATGTATTATAAATTTCAAAATAATACACTATCGAACTTTGAATTATTATAATTAGTGTAGAAAACATTACCAATAACATAATTTATTTTTGTTATTGCACGTACATAGGTCATATATTCATTTTTATCTGTTGGATGGGGCCTAATTTCGGATATCGACATTGAAAGTGAACGTCTGAGGCCTTTAGGATATCAGAGGTTTACAATTTGGACATTACATCGTCTTATAAATTTACGAACATACCGTGGCCGAATCTCGTATATACCTAAAAAGGAAGATGATACAGATCCCGTTTTACCACATCAGGAAGTCTCGAGAAGCAGAATAAGTTTGCAATATAGTATTAATTTCCAGGAATCTTTAAACAAAAAATACAAGTCCAACGACCACATAAACACAACTGACTTTGAGGATGTAATATCGCTGGAAACGCTAGCCAACCAATCGTTTCGGTCGCGATGTGATAGCTGGCTATCATCGGGTTCCCGGAAGAGTACATACTACTCTATTGCCGAAAGTTTGTATCATAGCATTTCCGATACCAGCGAATGTAGCGATAGTGATTGCGCAGAAGACATTGAAGATACAAATAATTTGCAACATGTACGTTTAAGCGAAAGGAAGGCAAGTCCTCTCCCACCCCCAGATAAATGGGTTGTTGAGGAGGGCGAATTTGTAATGGTTCATGCTGCGTATCAAACTCATCTTGGTAGCGATTGTTTTTTTGCGCCCCAGTCGCAGCTCAATGATGGCACAATACACTTGGTTATAATTTATGGTGGAATTAGCAGATCGCAGCTCTTAAACTTTCTAATCAATATGAGTTCAGGAACACATCTTCCCTCTCCGAACACTGAGTTTATAAAAGTAGTACGCGTAGAAGCTTTTCAATTGAACCCTCATAATAACAACGGTATACTGACAGTAGACGGCGAACGAATGAAATGTGGTCCAATTGAAGCTAGAATTATTCCAGGCGCAGTTAAAGTTATGATTCCAAAAAAGGGGCATTGAGTAATCGAATAATATTTGTCAAGTGTAGAATTATGTATTTCCAAAACAATCCAATAATAATAATCTCATAGCTTTTAATATTTTTGTTGATATGTGATAATTCCAATATGTAATCAGTTTATACAATTTTATTGAATATAAAGTGCGCCAACATATATTATTAAAAATGAGTTTAATTATAATCCATCCAAAGATAAATTCTTTTTCCCACAGAAAAAAAGCATAAATAAAATAATAAATAAATAAAAAATGAAAAAATACGTTTGCTGACGCAAAAAAGTGGGGAGCTGCTAGCCCTATAGGATGTGTCAGTAAATATTTTTGCTCCCGGGAAATTGTAAAATTAAATAAATAATTTTTGCACAGCAATGCAAATTAAGTTGTTTTTTGTGTAAATAAATTGATTTTATTGCGGCCATCAATTGTGTGTTGGAGGAGTAATTGTAAATGAAATAAAACAAATAGCTGATTGAAGAAGAATACAACATCAAATTGCCGCGCAGTGTTTCTGGAACAAATGATGTTTTTATTCTGATTGATATTGAATAAATAGAGCTGTTTGGTGTAGCTGATCCCGCTTGTTGTGTTGCTGTACCTGATGTCGTTGCGGTTGTCATCTGTGTTCGATAATATATCTGGAACGTTATCTGAATCCAATATTGAAACCATGCCAACTACAACAAACATATACTTGTCCAACTTGTAGTAGTGTTGTCAAGAACAAACAAAATAGTGTTGGATGTTGTATTTGTGGAATGTTCTTTCATATTACATGCGTTAATGTGACTAAAGAGCAACACAGTTTCTTATACAGGAACAGAAAAACAATGATGTTTTTATTTAAATGCCCAACGTGTATCAAGAAGAAGCCTGATAATAGCACTGATGCTACTGCTTCTCGTCATGGAGGTACTAATACAAGGCAAGAATTTGAATTATATAATCTATGTTTGGGGAAGCAATTTGAAAGCTTTGTACTGAAAATTAAGGATGTTGTCAAGACGTTATGTTCAGAGGTTGACAGAAGGTTTCACCTAATGGAGGAATCAGTAAGGAGTTGCTAGGCTGCAATTAAGATTTTCGAGCAGGCAAAGCAAGGGTCTGTAGCTGAAGCCGATATACTAACTAGGCGTCTCAATAGGTCAAACATAATTATCAGTGGTTTGCCTGATGGAATCAAGAGATTGAGAGACCCAATAATCAAAATCGCAGCTATATACGGCATTGATTTGCACCCTGGCGACATAAACCATTGTTGCTACATCTCAAAGGGTAAAGTGGTTAAGTTTAACTCCATTCTTGTTAGAGACAGTTTAATGGCTAGTTAAAAGCGCCGTAGTACTCCAATGCTTGTGGCTGTAAGAAGTAGAGTATACCTGAATGACCCTCATAATCGTACAGCTTCAAAATTAATGTATCTCTGTCGCAAGTTGTAGAGAAATAATAAAATCAAAAAGTCTAAGCTGAAGAGTGAGGATAACCCTAAAGCGTTGGTTGTCTTCCGTGATGAAAGATTGGGTGAGCTTGATATAAATCAGTGCACTAGTATGTTGAATGATAATGGTGATGAAGCTTCTGCTGGTGTAGCTGATGTTGCTAGTGCTGCCTCATGCGGTTTGGATTCATCAGCTGTTTCACGGTCATGTGCAGATAGTACTGGTGGTAGTTCATAAGTGAAGGTTGTGTGAGTAGTTTAATTATTTATTTAATAATTTTATTCTTTTTCCTGGATTTAATTTTGTTTATTACTGTAATTTAAATAAATAAAATATAAAATTTATTTTTCTCGATTTGTGTTTCTAGAGTAGCAAACGGTTTTCGATGTTCTTGTACTGATCTGGTTATATAAGAAATGTACTTTATACAATAATAAAAGTAGTTTGATTATTTAATATCTGAGTTTTTGATTATTATTATAGGTTATGATTAAAAATTTGATTAACTGTATTATGACTACTCCAGTAGGAATGGTATGGTTGTTAATCCACACCAAAAAAAAATTATTATATATAAAATGAGTTCTATTTTAATCTAAATAAATTGTATCACAAATATAAAAAAATTAAACATACATACGTATATTAAAAATTGAATTGAATTTGAACTACTACAATTTATAAATATATACAACATAATGATTCTTCGAATTTATAAATTCTTCATTGATTAAAAAATAAAATAAGTGAGCAATATTGGGCAATAATAATTTATAAAATTTGATTAACTCGATATAATCATGAGTAATTGGAAATAAGATATATATGTATAGCACATGTGAATACGGGGAATGAAAGAGGGGGAGAAGCAGCTACTATGATTAATAAACGTAGTTCTATGTGGTACAAAAAGTCACTAAATTTTAATAAGCTGTGTCATAACATACATAATTGTTTTTGTATTTGAAATTGAAGAACGGTCAAAATGACCGTCTTCGGCAATCTAGTGTTAAAAACAATCTTAATGTAGGTCGTGCAAATCTCATAAGTTATAATTTGAGTAAGAATACTTTTAAAATTCACGACTTGAGAAATATTTTAGGGGAACTTGGTTAAAGCCGATTGTTTCCACAGAAGCTATACAAATATAGTATTTTTCGGTTAATTGACCCTACGGTTAATTGGTTTCCACGCTTAATTGAACCACATGATGGGACAAAAAATATTTCATAGGAAAATACATGTGAATTTTCTCAGATAATTAAACCCTGTTAATTGATTTGGTTCAAAATTCATGTCATCAAAAATAAATTTCCTTTTACTTTTCCCCGGTTAATTGCTTAATAATAATTGAAAAATAATCTGCCATTTTTTTGCATACATATTTGACATAATTTGTGAAAAAGACTAGGTGAGACCTCTATTAATTCAAAACATATGTTTATTGCTAAGGAAAAACTGCGAGAAAGCGTAATTTGTATTTGACATTGAAGTTCAAATTATACGTGATTACTGTAATTGAACAAACTATTCAATTAAGCAGGTTCGGATAATTGGTTCCTCGGTTAATTGAACTAAAATTTGTGCAAATTTTTATGTGCAATTAACCGAAAAATACTGTACCAAGTTATTTTCAATTCAATTTATTTCATAAACAAGAACCTAGCCCAAAGGGCCATGAGCGATTCCAAAAACTTATTTACATGGACTACTCCAAAAGCTTAAAATTAACACGATATCACTTAATTATATCATAAACAACAATGCATGAAGGAGTGATCGTCCTTTTAATAGAGGAGGTGGTGTTGTAATGTATGTTTCTCGGAATATTAAACATACATTTGTCTGTAGAGGAAGTTCTTATGGAGTTGTTGAATATGTTTTTTGCGAGGTAATTGTAAGCAATTGTGTTTCTTGTTGGTGTGGTTTATTTGCCACATGGCGATATTGAGGCTTTTGGAGATGAAATTTCTGATCTTGTTGTTATTTATTTTGGGAGATTTCAAGGAGATTTGATCTGCCGCGAAGTTTAGTTGTAAGGTTGTTGTCCACAACGCCCACACACGTCGATATTGCGCATTCCTCTACTTCTTTGTCGGATTTTTTTGTGTCGTGTCTGAATTTGGTAGCATGTTCAAATCAGTTTTTGGGTCCTGGTATTTCTGATCACTCTTTCATCTTTCTTTCAATTAATGTTCCCAGATTTCAGTTCTGTTGATTCTGTGTCGATTTCCAGCGCCTTTGATACATACAACTTTGGTGAGCTTTATTCTGTGGCAGATGTTGATGCCCAGCTTGATATATTGAACTGTGGTCTTCGGCACTTGTATAGCATAGTTCCTGTTAAAAGGTGGTTTTGTAATGATGACTGGTTTAAGTCTGCTGAAATTCGGTATCATTTGTCTCTTCGTGACATTTCTTATAGGTCCTATCTTCGGGATAAAATTGTTGAAAATTGGAAATTGTTTTGTCGCTGTCGTAACCGAGCCAAAAAATTATAAGCAAACTAAAATTTATTGCTCATAAGGATATGTTTGCTAATATATCCACAAAGTAAGTGTGGTCAATTTTAAATAAAAACGGTTTGTGTACTGATGACAGAGAAGTCGGGAATTCAGCTTTTGTTTCGAATCAATCCTTAGATGTTTTTGATGTTTCTTGTTTTCCTGTTGATGTTTTTGATGGTTTTTCTTTCCGTGCAATTGATTATGCTGAGGTTGTTGATGCCTTTAATAAAATCAAATCCACGGCAGTTGGATATGATGGATTTCAGCTAAAGTTTCTAAAGCTTGTGTTTCCCCTTTTTGGTCAATTTTTGTTGCACGTTGGCAATTCTGTGTTAACAATGTCTGTGTTTCCAGAGATGTGGAAAAGTGCAAAAAGAAAAGTGCAAAAAAAAAAATACCCACTTCCGAGGATTAAAAAATATATAAATTTTTTAGAAGAATACGTCGCGATCTTGCAATGTTACCCGAATAAAAAAAGCATTCCGATAATGAAAATTGCCGATGAACTTCACTGCAGATTTGATAACTTGGAGACGCACTTCGTTACAAAACGAAAGATGAAAATTATTTGTAGCGACCGCGACACAATCAACAAAATAGCTGCAGACGAAGAACTTCGCATGAAATATAGGGTGTTCATACCAGCTGAGCTATGTGAAATTAAAGCTGTGGTGCAGATCCCCTCCGAATCAGAATTCTCTGAAAAATACCTATTTGAAAACTTGTTAATTAAACATAAAGCTGAATACGGACAAATTCATGACAATATCATCATAACCGAAATTAAACGCTTCACAAGGCCTGATCCCGTTAATGAAAACAATAGGATTGACTCTGAAGCTATCTTAATATCCTTCAGCGGTGACAAACTACCATCCCATGTAAGTATACACAATGTATACTTCCCTGTGAAACCGTTCATTGAACATTCTACCAAAGTCTGCACCCGCTCCCGTCAGGTTTGCCCCCTATGTGGGTCCTCCCATGATGGCGTTTGCACAATGATACCGAAGTGTATTAATTGCAAGGGCCCCCATGATGCTCGATCCAATCAGTG